ATATATATATATATATATATAGGGGACAATGTACCTTAGTGTACTCACCAAGGGATTGTAAATAATTACTTTTTTATGTCAACAACAATTGTTGGGGCTGCTTCTGACTGCGGTTTATGGACAAGGACCGGCCTGTGCTGCTGGAAATCCCTCGGATTACGTAAATGTAAAAATGTGGAGTGGAGAATAATTAGTTCTAGAGTGCTTGGGTGGGCATCGTCAGAGCCAGAGAGAAGTAAAGCTAATTAGCCCATAGCGTTGGGATATTCGCGTGGACAATTGTATGCATAAATTTGACTTTTGTCTTCGGAGTGCCCAGCATCGAAAATGTCGTTATTAGCCACCTAGAGTTGGACTCCCTTTCACGCTTTTTTTCACTATTTTAAAAAAGGATAAACTTATTCTGCAAATGCGTTTGGCTTAGCTAGTATTATCGGCCTCCAACTGTAAGGATAACGAGGATCTACATATAGAGTTTACCTTTTTACAAAGATTAAGTAGATAAATTGACGAACATACATTTGTTTTCGATAAATTCTCGTCAGGCCTGTACATTTATATCGCACTTAACTAAATAAACTATGTGGGTTGATATAAAAATACTGTGGTTGTCAGGGCAGGGGGGAGTAATCAGGGCCAAAAGTCTGATCAGCACTAGCGGAGACTGGTAGCCGAGAGAGGTGATAAGCTGCTGGCTGTTGAAATAGCGACTTTCGGCCATGGTAACTGCGGCGCCGCGATGAAGTTCTTTTGGGCGCACAGGAGCGGTCGGCAAAGCCTGATGGTAGACGCTTCTGCCGTAGCCAATAGACGCTCTCCAATGAATTTTGAAAAGCTTGAGCTCACCTTGTAAATCGCTCGGAAGGCCTCTCTGGCATTCATGCGACGATCGGAGTCTACCAAGTGCGCTAGAATGGAACTGTTTATGCCCTTGCATAACCATGCTGGAATGCGTTTTCGTACTCCTTTTTTGGACATACGCCGGCTCGTGCAACCAATATATTCTGCCCCACAGGAGCAAATTTTAGTCAGGTTACTTACGATATATACGTACAGGCCTGACGAGAATTTATCCAGGGTGGATAG